GTAACACTGATATATCCCACATCCTTCACTGTAACACTGATATATCCCACATCTTTCACTGTAACGGTGATATGTCTCACATCCCTCACTGTAACACTGATATATTGGCTGTTCACCCTATCCATGCCACTGTTGATTTTATAAACATCTATGAGTTCCGCCCTGATACATGCTTCAATATAATCATGATATATCCCACAACACTCACAGTCATACAGGCCGTAAATAGATCCTTTGGTCCAAGTGGACCGTGCCGACCAGGTTTCCCAAACTAAACTAGTCCCATTTCCCTGCATTTGGCCCATATCCAAACCTTTTCTTTTCATGTACCTGTCCAATTGTGTTTTAAATGTTGTAATTGTACCTGAATCTACCACTTCCTCTGGCAGTTCTTTCCACACACGTGCCACCCTCTGCATGAAAAAGTTGCCTCTGGGATCCCTTTTAAATCATTATCCTCTCATCTTTAAACCTATCCCTCCAGTTTTGTACTCCCCAACCCTAGGGAAAAGTCCTTTGCAATTCCCCTTTTCTACACGCCTTATGATTTTATAAACCTCTGTAAGGTCACCTGTCAACCTCCTGTGCTCCAGTGCAAGAAGTCGCAGCTTCTCTGTGTAACCCAAATCCTCCATTAATGGTAACATCTTGGTAACGCACTCACTGTAATTACTAGCGTACAATCTCCACAGTGTGGAAGCAGGCTATTTGGCCTATTGAGTACACTGACCCACTGAAGGGCTTTCCACCCAGACCTACACCCCCACACTATCCCTGTAACCCTGCATTTCCCCATGGCTAACCCACCTAGCCCGTACATCCCTGGACACTACGGAACAATTTCCCACGGCCAATCCACTCTAACCTGCACATCCCTGGGCACTATGGGACAATTTCCCACGGCCAATCCACCCTAACCTGCACATCCCTGGGCACTATGGGACAATATAGCACGGCCAATCCAACCTAACCTGCACATCCCTGGGCACTACGGGGCAATATAGCACAGCCAATCCACCCTAACCTGCACATCCCTGGGCACTATGGGGCAATATAGCACGGCCAATCCACCCTAACCTGCACATCCCTGGGCACTACGGGGCAATATAGCACGGCCAATCCACCCTAACCTGCACATCCCTGGTCACTACGGGGCAATATAGCACGGCCAATCCACCGTAACCTGCACATCCCTGGGCACTATGGGACAATTTCCCACGGTCAATCCACCCTAACCTGCACATCCCTGGGCACTATGGGACAATTTCCCACGGCCAATCCATCCTAACCTGCACATCTTTGGAAAGTGGGAGGAAACCCATGCACACACGGGGAGAATGTGCAAACTCCACACAGTCGCCCGAGGGTGGGGATCGAACCCGGGTCCCCGGCGCTGTGAGGCAGCAGCTCACCATGAAGTCAAATACATTCCAGGAGAAACGGAGGTACCTGGTGAGCTGTGGCTGGGTTTCTGGTACAGTTGGTGTGTCAGGGTCTCCGTCTGCTGCGCTTCTACCCTGTAGTGTTGTCTTTCACCGTACAGGAATTGAGGAGGTGCATTGAAAGAGTGGTGGAATGGCTCGAACTTTCCCGGCTGACACTGGTGCGGGTTGATAGGGCGTTGGACAGGCTCCCGGCTGATTGGCATGTGCTGCAGCAACTGATGGTGGCTTGACTGCTGGGCCTGGTGGTAGGGGCCCATTTGGTGCTGGTTGTCACTGTGTTGTTTGGTCTCCCCTGAGGGTTTATGGAGCTGATGGTGCTGTACTTGGATGGTGGGTTGCTGCAGGATATCCTGCGCCATCTGCTGGTTGACAGTGGGAAGCTGCTGGGGCCCTGCCATGCGCCGCAGCTGAGGGTAGCTATAGTGCAGTGACTGTGGAAGTAAGACTTTGGCCTGCTGATTTGTGGGCATGCACGGCATGTGCTGGGACACTCTGGGCTGAGGGTAGCGTTCTGCCGGTGCTTTCTGCGACAGCATTTGCCGCAGTGTGACGCTCTGAGTGTAGCTGCCTGCTGCGCTGGAGCTGTGACCCAGAGAGTGTCGGTTGGCGAAGACTTTATTGAACGAGTCCAACTTCCCATCAGCCCGTTTAGGCAACTGTTCGTCGCACTGCTCGAATGGGAGGCCATAAGTATGTCCACCTACTGCCCTCACCAGCCTAGGATCACTGGGCTCTTGCTTCACAATCACTTGGGTGCTCATATCCGAGTGGTCCCAGCCAGCATTCCCAGTCAGCTCCAATCCTTTGTGTCCACCCATTTCCAGCCTGCCAGCCTCCATGGGGTCAGGGTCAAAACAGGACGAGACAGGAGAGTTGGACTCTGGGGCACTCTCCAGTCCAAGCGTGTGTGAGAGGTTGTTGTCCATCCCAGGCAAAGGGCCACACTGTCCTTGGTGATGCTGAAAATAAAGCAGTCCCGCTCCCTCGCTGGTCTCTGGCTGGCTCAGCTGCTGCTCACCCATGGCTTGAACCCACTCTGACTAATCCGTGTGTGCTGAGGAAGTCTGCAGGTCATCAGTCACCAGAGCTGGGAGCTGAAATAAAGCAGAGGCATTAGCCATCAATCAGTTAGGCTTAACATTCGGGGGCAATGCGCCATTATTTGGGGGGATAGTTGAGAGGTGTACTTCACTGCTGCAGAGTTCGTGTGTGTGTGTATATACACACTAACACATGCACACACACACACACACTGTCACACTCACATACTCTCACACCCTCATATTCTCTCTCTCATGTTCACACTCACATATCCTCCCTCTCACACGTGCATTTACACTCACACACTCTTACACTTACATGCTGTCTAACATACTTTCAAAGACCCTCACGTTTTCTCACACACATACTTACATGCTCACAGACCCTCTCTCACACTCACATATCATTTCTCTCACAGCCAAACATCCTGTCTCTCGCACATACTTTCACTCCCACAGACCCTCTTTCTCACTCTCTCACACTGTCTCACACACACTCTCCGTCTCACACTGTCATATTCTTTCTCTTTTCTACATTTGGTCTCTCACATGCTTCTTTTGTATGGTACACATGTGCGCGCACACGTTCACTCTCTCTCACGCACACAAACAAACTCTCAGTCTCATACACTGTCTCTATCACACACACTCACTCTCTCCTGCATGCTCTCTCTCACACTTTGTCTCTCACACACACACCCTCTATCTCACACTCACCCTCTCTCTCACACTCACCCTCTCTCCCCTACACAATGTCATTCACACACACTCACATGCTACATTGTTACTGCTGTAAGCACGAACTGAGATCCCTATTTGAGGCTTTGACTAAGAGAGTTTATTCATTGAAAGCATCAGAACAAATGCATTGTTTCTATTTCAAATTAGGAGTTCGGTTAAATGTTTTTGATCAAATTAACGTTGTCATGGATGGTGTAAGAAGTTGCTCTGACATTGAGAAAATGTTACTGGACATGGGAAAATCAAATAAGTGCCTTGTCAAAATGCATTCCACCCACTGAGCAGATAAGCATCAACCACTCTACTTCTCAGTAATTCTCATTTACAAATATTTGGATCTCAGTATACCTATGACAGCAATAATTAATCATTTGATAAAAATATTCTGCTCACTAGATGATGGACAACTATGATATGAAATGAAGCATTTTTCTCCCCACTTAATTATGTCTCAAGACAAGACTTAACAGGACAGGGACAGTTAAGGGTTAGATACTGAGTAAAAGTCCCTTCACATTGTCCCCCATCAAACACTCCCAGGACAGGGACAGCACAGGGTTAGATACAGAGTAAAGCTCCCTCAGCACTGTCCCCCCATCAAACACTCCCAGGGACAGGGACAGCATGGGGTTAGATACAGAGTAAAGCTCTCTCTACACTGTCCCCCGATTAAACACTCCCAGGACAGGGACAGCACAGGGTTAGATACAGAGTAAAGCTCTCTCTACACTGTCCCCCCATCAAACACTCCCTGAACAGGGACAGCACGGGGTTAGATACAGAGTAAAGCTCCCTCTACACTGTCCCCCATCAAATACTCCCCAGGACAGGGACAGCATGGGGTTAGATACAGAGTAAAGCTCTCTCTACACTGTCTCCCCCATCAAACACTCCCAGGGACAGGGACAGCACAGGGTTAGATACAGGGTAAAGCTCCCTCTACACTGTTCCCCCATTAAACACTCCCAGGACAGGGACAGCACAGGGTTAGAGAAAGCTCAGTCTACAAAAAATAAAAAACTCCGGATTCTGGAAATTTGAAACAAAAACAGTCCTGAAGAAGGTCACTGGACTCGAAATGTTGAGTCTACTTTTTCACTACTGATGGTTCCAGACCTGCTGCAATTCTCCAGAAATTTCAGTTTTTGTTTCAAAGCTCTCTCGCACTGTTTCAATTAAACAAGCGATGTGCAAACAATCATTTCACACTGTATTTGAAATACCCCTCTCCACATTTGCAAGGCAGGTTTTGTGTTGACTGGAGGTGCCTGCTACAGAAGTGGCCAGCTTTTGATTTGTAATCCTGGTTTACTGCTTGTTTTCTGGGTATGAAATGTAGACTCTCGAGCTGTCCTGTTATCCAAAACAGTTTTTGCTGCAAGTCCTCAGCTCTACCAGTTGTGCTTCTGTGTCACCCTCAGCTTGGCAGAAAATTTCAGATTTCTGGTGTGTGGACAAGTTTTCCCAGCCAGGGTGTTTCAGAGCCAACATGTGGGATTGGTTGATTGGAATTTGGCACGGAATGGATGCTGAGGTGTGCTGTGGTCTTTATTTTTTAAATGTAATCCTGTGATGTTGCTGGTCACTATAACACTGAACCAAATAAAACAAAAGTTGGACTGAAAGTACATCAGCAATTTGCATTTATATGGCCACAATTCTCTTCCTTGTTTGCAAATCCTCCTGTAGCCTTATCCCTCGTTAACTCTGAAACCCCTTCAAAACCCAGAAGCCTTTGAGATCTCTGCAGTCTTCTAATGTTGTACTCTCGCAAATGTCTGATTATGGCCACTCCTCCAGTGCTACTGTCCTTTCAGCTTCCTGGGTCCTGCATGTTCAAGGTCAGTCCCCAATCTACCTCCCTGTCTGCTCAGCTCAGAGAAGACCGTGAGGGGATCTGACAGGAGCTCTCAAGTTCACAAGGAGGCCTAAGCAGAGTAAACATGGAGAAAATGTTCCTAGTTGTGAAAGGATCAGGAACAAGAGGGTGAAAATTTAAAGTGGTTAGCAAAAGGAGCAGAAGTCTATGAGGAAAATTTTTGTTACTCAGAGAGTGGTCAGGGTATGGGATGCACTGTCTCAGAGCGTGATGCATTCAAAGGGGAACTGGAATGCTGTCTGCAAAAGAACAGTGTACAGATTTGTGGGGAGAAGGCGGGGGAATAGCATTCACTGAAATGCTGACTTGTGGGCACAGACACAATGGGCTGAATTGTCTCCTTCTGCACTAGACTGATTCAGTGATTCTGAAAGAGAAAAGGAACATTTCTAGGAAGATTCCTTTTTTGATTTCAGACACTGATAGTCATGCAGCTTTCGTGAGAGTTCCCTTCTTACTCTTGGCTTTGCTTCTGGTCCTTAAGTAGGCCCTTGCGGAGACGCAGTCTGATTAATAGTCTGAAAGAAAGACTCCCTTTTATGTAGCATCGATCACCACCTCAGCAAATTTTACAGATAATCAAGGGTTTTTGGAGTGTAACAACAGTTGGAAAGTTATAAACATGCCAACCTATTTGCCAATGCAAAGTCTACAGACATCAGTGTAGTAGTAACTGCAGATGCTGGAGAATCTGCGATGACAAGGTGTAGAGCTGGATGAACACAGCAGGCCAAGCAGCATCATAGGAGCAGGAA